TATATCAAGCTGATAAAAAACAAAAAACACTCACGTTCCTCAGAGGATGAACCCTTTCCATTTCCAAGAGCTTTCTTCCAGCACCACACTATTTGTGCACAAAATAACTCTTGTTCTTGTTCTAATGCACATATTGGCATGCCACCATGCTGATAAACCCTTCAGGGCAAATGTAACAGTTTTAGCATCATTACCGTGGAGGCTCCAAGAGAATAATTGTCAGTATGTTGTTTATTCTCTTTCACAGTTGCAGATTGTGCGGCGTTAAGACACTAAACCACAACATCCGTGGTTCAAATCTAACCAGCGACCTTTGTTGCGTGCTATTCCACGTCTCTCTCTTTACTGTCTGCCTCTACAAAGTAATCATGAGAAAAACTAAACAAACAAACAAACTGTTGCATATTCGGGGGTGTAATAACCACTGAACCCTCTCGGGGCCGCCAGCAGGGATCCAGACTAACAATCTTTTCTCTGCTGTGATCTGTACAGCATACTGTGCAACAAATTTGGATCCCAAGGCATGCGGCCTACATGCTATTTGTATTTGCTCAAAACTAACATTGTCAGGGTTGCCATGACAAAAAGTAAATCACAACTGAGGCAGTTTGAGAAGCATTAACATGGAGGACTAGACAAAAGAAAGGCAAGCAGATGAGTCAGTACTGGCAAAACTAAAAGATGAATCGAAAAACCAAAAGGGTTTTTTAACTTAACTTTTTTAAGTTTATATTATCTTATTTTAGGACGTTTAGGTCTGATTTTCCCTTACGGAGGATAAATAATACTGTCAAGCACAATTTGAATTAGATTATTAAACTCGTCTTGATTTGTCACAGTTACACATTCAATCTCCCTTTTTTAGCTGATACGAAAGAAGTGAAAAGTGGATTGAATGGTTGTCACACTAAAATCCAAAATATAGAGTAAAATATTAAGAAAGGATATTAAGAATAATACCAATCTTAATAAAACTTTAAGACAAAAAACTAAAACTTATGTTTGATGTAGCTAAACTTAATTTTCTGGGGCAATATGAACAAAATGTGATGAGTTGTTCTTTCTCTAGATAATAAGCAAAACAATATTTTGCATTTTTGTAGGTTTTTAATTTTTGTGGTGCAGTTTCTAGATATTTGTCACATTGCTGTCAGTTCATATAGACATCAGATAATCCAGCAATAAGTGTCATGACAAATCTGTGGAAACAAAGAGAAACAAGGACAGCCGCAGCAGATATAAAGTTGCTGATGCACACAGAAGTTAACTGAAGGATGTGTTCAGTGTAAATCAGCCATCAAACTACATCATACCCTCGTGCAGGAGAAACTGTGGCCTGCAGATGAATCTGACTCAGCTGCTGTTAAACACTTACTGGTGTTCAGATTCTTAACCAGACTTGCTTAGACTGAAGTGACTCACTGTGACTGTTTTAAAATATTTAGATCTCAGTTCATGTGTGGGAATGACTCAGCTCTACTATTCTCACATACTGTACAGAAACATAAATGTTGAATGTCATGCAGTTTATTTATTGCTTTATTCAACAGGGATGATACAGATAAAGATGGTTACTTAGGGACTTAGGGAGAAGAAGTGCAACAAATGTCCTGTATGTACCTTATTTGAAGCCCCAAACCCGTGTTAGGCTTTTAAATTCAGGTAAAAAAGAAAAAAATATTTCTTAACATATCTTTTTATCTTTATGACAGATGTATTCCCATAATGTCACATGCTTTTCTTGCTATTGCTAAATGATGAAACAGTCCACATATTTCAATCCCATGAAACGATGTCTGTCCCCTTATAAGAATCAATTTAAGTTTTAAGCCTAGTTACAATTATAATTTGAGAGCTACTGTGATCTATTTACTAAGATCTGGGTAAATGGGGAAATTTCAAGAAGATGGTGCCTTTAAGGCCTCCTGACAATACCAAAGGAACATACTAAATGGGAACTTATGTTTCACACAATTCATTAAGCCCCCAACAGGCATTATAGGATTATAAGGCAATTATTGTAATGTCCAAAAATAGAATCTACGTCCTCCCTTCAAAATGCAAAAATATTAATCAGAAACCACAATGAACCACAAAAAAGGCCCAAAAGATCAAACACACTGGATGTAAAATTGGGAATTGGTAATCCGGCCTTGTGTTGATTTCCAGTCCTCTGCTCAGTTGTTATGGTCCTCAAATGTCACCGAATTCCTTTTCACTTCATGGATGAAGGATGAATTAAAAGGAGCTAATGCCTTTTCTCATCTCAATAGGAGGCCAGGATCCCAAATAACTCCTCTGTCTACCTCCAACAGCTTTTCTATCTTTCCTATGTTCTCGAGGCCACGCCCCCTTACACCTGTGATCCTGGACCTGGAGCAACACGTCACGCTGACCAGCTACATTGAAAAACGAAAGAATTTTTGACACTTTCAATGATACATGGCTCCACTGAAGATACAAATCTTTAAAAAAAAAAAAAAAAAATTATAGTTCAAGTTTAAAAAAAGGCTAAATAATTTCCTAAAACAGCTTGTCAAATTAGTTTTAAGGATGCTTACTCAAACAGAAAAATAGTGCATTTGATGCTTAGTGAGCATTAACTATGTGGGATTTGTGTCAAAATAAACTACAGTGTGTTCATGGTATAATCCGGAACATGTGCCCCAGGTTTCTGGACAACAACAATATATAATAGCTTTGGAAACAAACATTACTTGTTATTAGATGCATTCATTGTTGTTTGAGTCTCTCCGTTCACAATAAAGAAAATAAAGAACATTACCACCGTTAAATTTTATTTTCCCATATTTGCATCAGAGGAAAATAAGTTTTTAATTATTGCCACATCCTTGATGATTTTTGTAATGTGCTTGTTATGTTTTATTTGTCAAATCAAATCATATCAAATCACATCACTCAATTACACGCCGTTCTTTTGCTTTTCTGCACCACAATGATGAGGCAGCCATTTGTGTGAGCAGTTGCACAGTTGGGAATGACTCAGGGCCCAGCTAATAGCTCCCATCATAATTCAGGCCCTAATCTGTGTCTGGAGAGGCCGTCAGAAACGTGTTATATATGGACTCGGTCACAGTGATGCACTGGTTTGCATCTACAGTGCTCCCTCCACTAAAGAAGGAGAGAGATTTTTCCTTGCCGACGTCCCACCCTCAAGTCTGTGCTGACCCTGCAGAAAACTAATGTTTACAGTGAAGTGAAGAAAGTATCAAATCACCCTGCTTGTATAGAAATATGTGTATTTACATATTGCTGCGGCTTAAGTAGAAGAAGAGGCATTTGCACACAGGTGATTATACATTTGTTACTGT